TCAAGTGCCACACTGACATGTGCCTACACTCACATGTGCCTCCCCCGACTGTCCTACACCACTGTGCCTACACTTTACTGTCCCAACCGCATTTTTGCCTACACTCGACATGTCCCCACACTCAAAAATTGCCTACACTCGGTGCCTTCATCGACTTGCCAACTCGACATTGCCCACACCACATGGCCTCACTCGACATGTGCCTACACTCGACATGTGCCTCACTCGACTGTGCCTACATCGACATGTGCCTACACTCGACATGTGCCTACACTCACATGTGCCTACACTCGACATGTGCCTACACTCGACATGTGCCTACACTCGACATGTGCCTACACTCGACATGTGCCTACACTCGACATGTGCCTACACTCGACATGTGCCTACACTCGACATGTGCCTACGCTCGACATGTGCCTACACTCAACATGTGCCTACACTCAACATGTGCCTACACTCAACATGTGCCTACACTCGACATGTGCCTACACTCAACATGTGCCTACACTCGACATGTGCCTACACTCGACAGTGCCTACACTCACATGTGCCTACGACTCGACATGTGCCTACACTCAACATGTGCCTACACTCAACATGTGCCTACACTCAACATGTGCCTACACTCAACATGTGCCTACACTCAACATGTGCCTACACTCGACATGTGCCTACACTCAACATGTGTCCTTTCATCAACATGTGCCTACACACATGTGCCTACACTCGACATGTGCCCTTTCACTCGAACATGTGCCTACACTCAACATGTGCCTACACTCAACATGTGCCTACACTCAACATGTGCCTACACTCGACATGTGCCTACACTCAACATGTGTCTTTACTCAACATGTGCCTACACTCAACATGTGCCTACACTCGACATGTGCCTACACTCGACATGTGCCTACACTCGACATGTGCCTACACTCGACATGTGCCTACACTCGACATGTGCCTACACTCGACATGTGCCTACACTCGAAAATGTGCCTACACTCGACATGTGCCTACACTCGACATGTGCCTACACTCGACATTGCTCATCGACTGCTACACACAACATGGTGCCTACACTCGACATGTGCCTGCACTCGACATGTGCCTACACTCAACATGTGCCTACACTCGACATGTGCCTACACTCAACATGTGTCTTTACTCAACATGTGCCTACACTCAACATGTGCCTACACTCGACATGTGCCTACACTCGACATGTGCCTACACTCGACATGTGCCTACACTCGACATGTGCCTACACTCGACATGTGCCTACACTCGACATGTGCCTACACTCGCGACATGTGCCTACACTCAACATGTGCCTACACTCGACATGTGCCTACACTCGACATGTGCCTACTCTCGACATGTGCCTACACTCGCATGTGCCTACACTCAACATGTGCCTACACTCGACATGTGCCTACTCTCGACATTGCCACATTCTTCTACCAACTTAAATTATAGTCTAATTTAGTGATGAAGCTCTATAGCATTTGAGCTGATTAGAGCTAGGTAAGGGTAATTTAGCGTAGAATCAACGATTACTTTTATTTCAGTCTACACACAGTGACAGCAGTGAGCACTTGTGGTAGGACCTCCCTCACAACCTCCAGGCTGGCCAGGTCACCATGGAAATCGGAGGGATGTTTAGACGACAAGTGACAGACTACCACTTACTGACGTTGTTATTTTTATAACAGCCGAATTAAAGAGGGCGACTTACCTTACATTAGGCTAGCAAAGTGAATAACACTAACATTCGCAAGTCACTTTACAACGTGAATGGAGACTCACATATCTAACGAATTGGCCTCCTTATTTTTTTCCCCGAAGTCTGATGGTCTGGTGTATGGTCATTGACTCAAGACTTACCCCGCTTTTCGTATCTGTGCTGTTCATAATGAGGGTAATAACATACAGACCCACCTCTCGCGACGAAAAGTGTCGTTGACAATACTGGTGAATGTGTATTGATATGTTGGAAAGGTCTTTCACTGCTCTTCAATTCATCAAAGTTACAACTACACCCAGCATACACTGCCCTGTGTAGAATCAGCAATGGTGAGAACAGTTCTGCAAATCTGCTAACCGCAATGCCTTTTCACTGGCGCCACTTTTTTGTTCCTATCGTTTGTGGGCGTGTCTCCAAGAGTTAGTCAGTGGCATGCTATTGGCTGACTACGTGTAAACGTGCCTTGTCCAACGCAGCAGCAGCAGCATCAGAGCAGCACTGTATGTAGTCTTACAGTGTCAGCAATCACTAGGGTGCGTTGTCATTTATCGTCATGAACAGAGGGGACGTTTCTGTTCCGCCTGAGGGTGTTTTGTTGAGGAGTCCTGCAGCGGCTGTCGTTGAACTAGAAGCAGCTCAGGCTGAGGGCCAGGAGTCGCAGAATCCGTGGCCCCACCTGGATGACTATTTTGTCCTTAAGTCAAGGGATACGAAGAATGCCAATATTTTGTACTTCCTGTGCATCATGTGCCAGCACAGCGCGACCATCATCAGGGGACAGGCGGCGAGCCTCTACAACTTGAAGTCGCATGTTAAGAGGAAACACCCAGCACATGCCGTCAAGTTTGAGGAGAGAATCCAGGCCGGATCTTCCCTTGGAAAACATGGGAAATCTTCTTGTGGCAGTGCCACTAACAGGAACAGCAGCAAGTTATCACAGCTGTCTGCAAAGAGAGCACGCCAGACCACCATTGACGAAGTGTTTGTTGCTGTTGGCACTAGTGTCCGTCAGTCTGTGGTGGACACAAAGATTGTGGACCTATTCGTCTGTAAAACACTACCACTGTATGTACTGGAATCCCTCACCTTTGTCAGCCTGATCAAGACGCTAAACTCCAACAAGATTTCGATATCCATCCGCACCCTGGGCAGGAGGATTTTGGTCAGCCATAAACAGCTGGAGGAATATCTTATAAGGAAATTATGAGTTAAAAGCTCTTATTAAACTATTACTATAGTTTTTTATATTTTCTTAATTTTCCTGGGTATTGCAAGTTATGACAGTTCAGAAGTACAGTAACTTTCTCAGTGTTGTAAAGTAACAAAGTAAAACTACCTGAGAACTGTACTTGAGTAACTTTTCTCGGTATTTACTTTTCAAAAATTACTGATGATGTAATGAGTAACGTATCGTTATCAGATTGTACCGAAGTAAAGTATTATCAGACTTCAGTACTTAAGTAAAAGTAAAAGTAGTGAGCAATTTCAGGGCATTTAAAGTGAAATACGAAAAAAAAGTTACTTAAGTACAGTACTCAAGTAGTTTTACTTCGTTACTTTACAACACTGGTACTTATACTCAAATATTAAAGATGAGTACTGTTTGCTATGGGGCTTCAGTACAGCAACAAGTATGTCCTTTTCGGTTACTGGCGTTACATCACAAAATTAAACAGTCGCTATGTTGACACTAGCGGCTCTTGATCATCATATGACTTTGACATTCTATGTCTCATTAGGAAGCTCTCCAAGTCTGTTTCAAAAGTCTTAAAAGTAAAAGTAAAAGATCAAAAACTAAACCGAATCTGAATTCATGTGAAAAAGTTAGCGGTGCAGTTTAGCGTTAGCGGAGCTAGTTTTTTAGTTAGCGGATTAGTGGTTAGCGAAGCTAACTTTTCGGTTAGCTGTGCCCACAACCGAGAATCAGAGGTAAGCAAACCAGTTATCTGGGCCTCTGTTCTACATAATATTTTGTAACCATAATCCAGCAGTCTTATAGGTTCTCATCTCATCTATGAAGGTGTTTACCTTTAACATAATCTATTAGATAACTCATAAGGGAAAATATTCAAGAGAGATTTCTCTAGTTCCTGGGCCATCAGATAAGGAACAGATTTTAATTGTATTATTACTAGCTCTCTCTGCCTGTGTACATTAGGGAGCACTGAAAAAATACAAATTTTAGAGATTCAAGCTGCACTTTTCAGGCATTATTTATATGGTCACAACAAGCTTTTGTTTAAAATTTCTGATAATTTCATGCCCATTTACCCTGCAGCATCGTGACTGACTTTTCATCAAATTATACACCACTGCAAGCATTTAGTTATAAATTATTGATTGCCAGGATAATAATCAAGTGTACATGGTTTATATCATTTTTGCTTGTGAAGATTGTATAATCAAAAGTACATGAGTTATATCAGTCATCAACTATTTCATTTTAAACTATTACAAGTTATAAGTGAAGTCTTTCTTGGTGCAGAACTTGGGCATCACTTTCCTGGAAAATATTCTTTGCCTGATATATGCAGCTCTTGCCTTCTGTTCAGTCACTTCAGTCCAAGCTTCAGTCATCAATTTTATCCTTCGCTCAACAGCTTGAGAGTTGTTTGGCCACTTGGGCACCTCCAGTGGAATCTCAATAGTTTTCAGAACTAATTGCAGATTAAGTCACTTATGCAACATATGGGAATCTTTATTGAAGAAACATTTCGTCACACAGTGGCTTCATCAGTCATATACAAAGCAGAAAGGTGTAAGGAGAGGAGGAGTTTGAGGTAATCAGTGCCTCAGCCTGGAGTCGATGTGTTCAATCCATCAATCTTGTAAAAAGTACAGCATAGGTATGTATGTATAATGTTCGCCAAGACCGCAGTCCTGGCACGGGTCTCTATCTTGCGATGACCCGTCTGTACAGCATAGGGCCTTAAAAGTGGCTTATATACTGTTGTCAGGTGAGGCAAAGCAGGAGGAGGCAGGGTCACAGCAGAACCGTCCCATGATGTTGCAGTGTCTGACAGATGTGATAAATGGTTTAAAACCGACTTGACGGTTTTAAACCATTTATCACAATTTTCAGAACCTGTTGATAGAGAAGCAATGATAGTTCAAATGATAGTTCTTTGCTTGCCGCTTTAGTTTAGGAATTACTACTTTTCTTGAGTTGACAATAGGAGCCACATTGTCATTCTTCACTGTCATCCACATCATCAGTGAAGATTAACAAGTCCTCGTCAACAGCATCTGCAGAATCTTCTCCATCCTCATCAGAGCTCTCATTATTTTCCTCTGTCTGCTGATTCTCTTCTCTAATTTTTCTTTTCATTGAGGCAGCTTTGTCTCTCACAGTCATGTCTTCATTAGCGCACATACCAAAAAGCAGCTGATCTAGATTAGATTTTGCCACCGAAGTGGCTAGTTTATTGTGCACCCCATATCCATCCTGTGGACGGTAGTGCAAGAGTATATGGATGCACAAAAGCCTAGGAACTAGGCCCCAAAAGGGGGTAACAGGTGTACATATGGGTTTATATCTACGTATCTACAGTTCATTTATCTGTTACAAGCAAATTTAGGAAATTTGCTTAGTATATCTGGTAACTTATTTTCATTAATAAAATATTTTGACATGTCACATAGGTTATTATACTGTCCGTCTCTGTATTCCTGAATAAGTGGACAATTAAGCACATAGTGTTCAAGACAGTGACCATATGCCTGATCACATAATTTGCATTTAGTTTGACCATCATCTGTGTGTCTCGCAAACTGTCGGAAGTACTTGTAACTAAGCCTAAGCCTGGCCACTACAACATCAGTCAATCTGTTCACATTGCAACTGATCTGTGTGAGCAAAATAGGAATTTCTTTACAGTCTTCTTTACTATATTCTTTTCTTCACTGCTCAGATGTCTCATAAAGTGCAGTGAATGGAAGACGTGCACAGCTTGATGTGGAACCACATTAGAGCACTGAACTTTAAAATCATGATGACGACTCTTTTTCAACTTCTGACTGGGTCATGATGTTGCCACATGCAGCATAAGGATCGTACTCCATAAAGTATTCCACCGTGGCACACACGGTGGACTTGGTTCAAAAGCAGCCAAGTCATCATCAACCACACGTGTGATCACTTCTTTGGAAATCTTACACAAATATTTCTGGTTCCAGGACAGATCCTCTGCCACCTTGCCATTCAGAGCAGGGAAATCAGTGAAATTGACTGGCTGAAAAGTAACAACTGGCAGCTCAGACAGGCGATCCTTGATTTGCTTGCCAATGGGACCTTTCCAATACTCAGGACCACTTGGCTTACTGTCATAGTGGTAGAAAACAGCCCGAAATGGCAGCTCATTTCCATGAAGCTGACAGATGAAATAATGGACTGGGTGACCAAGCAACATTTCAAGTTAATGAATAGTTCCATTTTCAGCTTCGACATTTACATTGGTTCCTTCACTAAAAACACATCAGGCTGACTAGTTAGTTTCTGTTCCATCAGAAATGTTAGATAGTCTTGGCACTCTCCTTTCCATGGCCTGACTTGAGAGTCACATGAGTGAGATATTCAGTGCCGGGCTCCACCATGATGACGTAATGATCTTTCACCACTAACTTTGGACTCCATTTCTTGGTCTTCTCATTCTTTGTCATTACACTAGTGGAGGTCTTCTTGCCATCAAAATACAGTGATGCGATATTTTCCAAGTTTTCTAGTTCCTTTTCTTGCCTCTCTGTTCGGCATTTGTGTCTGGCATCTCGTAGCTTCTGTGATCCAATAACTTGACTTTTGTCATCCTTGGTGATAATGCTATAATCCATTAGGGTGGCGGTAACAATGGCAGCTCCAGCATAATCACCAAGAAAGTTAGTTAATGTTTATAAATACTGCAGAGTACGCAGATACAGTTCATAAAACACTGCACTGCACTACTCAGTAATACAGACATTTTAAAAAATTTCAATCGCAAATGCTGTAGGCTAAACCCTCAACCAATCAACTTCACATTCGGCACTGAGTCTAAGATGTATATAAGGAACAATGCTCGAAGAGTGCAGCTTTGACCAAACTTTCAATGCTCCCTAGCTGCAGCATGCAGGTGTCCATAGCTCGATTGCTAGCTCACTCACACACTGAAGTCCGTGGTTCCATCCTTGGTATGGATGGAAACATTAGGACGTATTACCTTAAGACACCTGCTATTCCTGTTCACTTATAAGTATCTGGGTGTTTGTCGACTGGTGCGGGTCGCATAACCAGGGCATTCTATATAGTAGCATGTCATTGATGTCAGCTACATTGTACTTGTAGAAATTATTATTATTATTATTATATTATTATTATATTATTTATTATATTATTGCTGTTGTCGTTGTTGTTGTTTTCATTATTATTATTATTATTATTTATTATTATTATTATTATATTATAAGAAAGTGAATGAAAGCGTCGCTTCAGTCTTCTGCCTATTCATCTCCCCGTTCATCACACTTTGTTAATAATCGATGAGTGGAAGTCAGATGTTTTACTGAAAACAAAGCGTTTCTCTTTCTTCTCTGTAATTGGAAGTTACCTCAACAACATAGAAAAAAAAATCACTTTAAATGCAAAGATGTTTCACTTGCCCTTAAGAGCCGAGGCGACTGTTTACCTTGTCAGCTGCTGAGTCTGGTTTACTGAAGGCTGTTTTAAGATTCACAGATCGAATCCTACATTTTCTATGAACAATGTTCAATAGAAATATGGAACTCCGATAGTTTACATTCTTTATATATATTTTTTGATTGCTAAATAAAAAAAAACACAATTTAATTTATTAGAAGTAAAAAATAAGCATTGTAATATAATACGCAAAAAACAGCGACGAAGGAGAGAGGAGCTTACGATTACGTTATTTGTGTATTGTTACAGTCACGGTATTGTGCCTTGTTGTTCATTATCATATGATAAACTTCTTCAAACGAACGTAAAAAAAACTGTGCTTAATTAAATTATAAAAAAAAATGACCTATAGCAATCTTTTATTTCTCGTTGGAATGATAATATCCATAAAGAAAAACTCATAATAAAGCCAAATTCACATACGTTTAATATTAATTGAAAAACAGGTAAAACAAGTAACCGGTCTTCGCATGGCGGCCATATTGGAATAGCGGCCATACTGACTTACCTCGCGGCCTGACAATGGTATACACATTACA